AGCAAGGCACGGAACACTTTGTATGGTATGCTAGTATTTACATAAATAAAGGGGCCAGTGTTATATAGGTAGTTTCTTATAAATGCATGCGCTAAAGCTGAAAAATACCCAAGGATTTACTAATATTAATGGATTGTTAAAAGGGAAACTGTGGTGGGAGGGAAAATAAAAATACAATATTGAGCCAAATGAGCAAATTGCTTATTTGAAAATAATAAATAAAAAATAAAATGAATTAAATTACAAAATTATAGGCCACAATACAGTGACCTGTAACTTGGTCATCAAATTGAAAAAAACCTTAATGGAGAGGTATTTCTGGAACCTTGGTTCAGTTTTTGGCTAGACAAAAGAAAGCGTGATGTTTCTCAGTGGCTTTGTCCGTTCATGGCTTTTGTTACCCTAAGAGTTGACATGATTAAAAAATTTTAAGTGCAAATAGAGTCAAGAATGGTGATGTGAGTTTGTGGATACCATTTTATGAATTTCACATTTAGGGAAACAAAAGTATTGGGACACATCTCTGATCTTAGAAGGTCATGCTGAATAATGAAATGATGAAAGTGTTTTTTTCGCATAAATTCCCATGGTGCCACTGTCGGCCGGAGGTCAGCCGGTCAGCTGGAGGTCAGCTGGAATTCTGTTCCTTGCTCCTTTCCCCGGTGACTTGTGCATAGCCACCCAGTATAAAGGCTGCAAGTGCTAGCCATGGCGGGTCTGATTTCTACCTAAGCCTCTGCCTAAATGTCCACCTCGAGGTGAATTGGTATGTGACTAAACTTGATTAGATTTGGGCTATTGGAACCCAAGGGGAATCATTTCACTCTTCGTATAGTTTTTAATTTGTGCTTCTGATACAGTGTCCTGTTCAGGCACTCCAGGATGTGTGCATGTAACTTGGGGACCCCTGAGTCAGGTCACTTGGCTCAATCATGTATCAGCTATGTCAAGAGACTGGAGAATGAGTACGACACAGCTATTGTGACTTCAGGAAGGCCGCATAGTGTGGCGGAGGGGGCGAGAGAGTATGTCCGAGATAGTGTTAGCTAAATGCTGGGCTGAAAAACATGGGCGTCTCAGCGTGCTGGACCTTGAAATTCAGGTGCCATGTACTAGTCAATTTGTGTTTCATGTATATGGTCTCCAGCAAACTGTTACAGAGAGGAATAAGAGATGGAAACAAAGACAATTTATGCGTATTCTTTTTAAACATCGAAGTAACATAAATGGTGAAGGAGAACAGAAACGTAAGCATGAAGTGTCCCACATCGCGCGGTTGGCTCGCCCACGTGGGGAAGTAGCACCATCTTGAGGTGGATGCCAGGCATCTGTCCTTGATCAGCACAAGAAGCCCCTGCAGTTTAGTGCACAGAGCATTTTGTCCCTGGGGTTCCCACACATTGTATTTTATTCTAGTGTTAGCGGTGCTGGGCGGGGGTAGCGAGGGGGTGGGGGAAGGCCCCCGGCAGGACCATGAGCAGGAGGAGCCTTGTTTTAGAGCACCCCTTTCTAAACTCTGGAGAGCCCATTCGGTTTGTTTGTTATTGGGCCTATCTTCCCATTCCCAGTCACTTTGGCACTCTCTCTAGCACTTGTTGTCTGTAAGGTGAAGTTATTTGTAAATCTAAAGGGAAAGGTATGTATTTAAAAATTAGTCTTAGGTTTTGGGTTATTTGCGCAATCATTAGCCAAAGTAATGTATAAGAATTAAAGCCAGCGTTTTCTCAGTTTAGAAGTAAGCGATTCAAGCATGTTGAGTCAGTTGGAGAATTGTGGGAGGGCGTTTCCTGAAAGAACCTGCCCGAGCACCGCCTGCGTGTTTCATTAGGAGGAATGTGACTCTGAGGGCCGAGGCAGGAGGAGCAGAAGGAAAAGCGGGGAGGCAGCCAGCAGGTGCAGGGACTGACGAGAGAGAAAAAGGAATTAGAGAAGAGAAGAAGTAGAGAAAGGGAAGGATGCAAGGCGAATCAAAACAAGATGTGCAAAGGGTCGAGGTGGGCAAGAGCAGGTTAGGACCCATCCAAGCCATTCACGCCGACCACAGGCCAGCTGATGCACGACGGCGCCACACACAAGGAACACAGATATGTTGTTGGGTTGGTGCCTCGTGAACGGTGCTTTGGGTCCTTATCTACACGCGTCTACGATTTTGGGCCGATTTCTTCAAGCCCAGAGTTATCTCAGGGATCCTGCGTGTCTCAGGATCTCCTCTGCAAACACTGGCTTGGAAACCGGAAGGCGAGGGCACACCAGAAGGGTGCACAGAATCGGAAGCTTCCAGTTGGAGGTGCCTCTGAAATGCAGCCACTGACCACTGTATTGAAGGTGGTCGAAGTGCTTCTTAGGAATTAAGCACGTAGTTTTTAGTTATGACCAATGACCTTTCCAACTTGGCTAATGAATTGAGAGACGGCAGCTCAGGTTCTTGCTAAATGGAATGACGATGAAACTAATTAAAATGGAAGTTTGAGTTAAAATACATCATCTATGAAAACATGGAAAAGACTCTATTAAAAATATTGGGTAAAGAGCAAGATACAAGAGAAACTGCATGCTTTGAGAAGCCCAACGCTTGGTCACTTTTTTCTAGTGGAGTTATGAATGTTGTGGGCATGGACCTCTAACCTCATCACTTTAAAACTCATCAAAAGGCAAGGAAAACTCAACGTGCGAAAATTCCCTCGCTGCGTGTGCCTCTAGTTGTTGCAGCAGCCCTCCAAAGCTCTTCTGGCCTCTGCACCTGTCAACTTCTGCCTCTCTGAAGGGCTCCTGAATGGATTTTGCCTCTCGACAGCACTCCACAAGCATTAAGGTTGGAGGTTTCTAGAGAAAGCCCTGATCTTCATTTGTCCTGGAAACATCTCTCTTCCCCAAGGACTGAACTTGAGAAACAGGCGTGATACAACCTTGGAGTCAGGCATATCTGAGTTGAAATTCTGGTTCTGGGACCTACAAACTGTGTGTGTGTGATCTTATGTGTCTTCTCCGAGCTTCAGTTCTGAAGCTAAAATACACCATGGGACTGACAGAGTACTCAGTAAGGGTGGCTTTTGTGTTTTAACCCACCTACTCACACTCAGAATCTTGCTTTGAAAGTTAAAGGCCGTATTACAACTACCACATGCTGGGGAACTGACTTTGGTTTCCTGCTACTTGTGTTACATTTCATAAATCCATGTAACTCTGGGCACAGACAAGGTACTGATGTTTCAATGTTAACTGCTTTTTAAATAAACTCGACACATAATTGACATTTTAATCAATGATCAAAAATACTTAAAGGATAGAACAAATCATACTCATTTTTTATAAGGCTATTACTAACTTAAGATGTCTTCTTATAAAATTTAATTTCCCATGCTTTTACTACTTTAAAAGGGTGAGACCAAGTGAGCATCACTGTTTCAGCTAAAAAAAAAAAGAAATCATTTTCTAATATCCCATGCCTTTCTTGAATCTCCCACACTTTATCAAAGTCTAGTCTTCTTAATAAATAACTTTCATTGTCTAGAACTTCATGCTGGAGACATGAAAACCATAGGGACAGCGGCAGTTTGCGTCAACGGGCTCTTCTTTCTGCTTCGTCCAGGTCTGCTGCGCTTGCCCTCCTGCCCCGCTGGGCCTAGTTCAGACTGACCTGTCTCACTGGACTCCCGTCCACCCCGACTTCCTGTTCCCCCAACGCTACCTGCGCTTACAAACACTAGGTGGTATGATATTATTTTCAAAGTGCTTATGTCTCGCTTCTCACTGAGGCTGAGAGCGACTCCTGAGCAAGGACCAGATGTTACTCTTCTCTTTTGTCCACCATGATCCAGGGGAACACAGTAAGTGCTTAAAAAAGAAATATTTCTCTACTGAAAAGAAACATTTGTACCATCGACAGATTGATTTCACTTGTGTGTTACTGGATTTCCTTAAGACATCATCATACCTCCTATCAAGTATGACTGTTAGCGAGATGGTGCTGTTACCTGATGACCAAAAACGGGTGTATGTGCTATTTTCCCCCCTTAACAAGTGGCAAAAAACAAACACAAGTGACTGAAATGAAACGATAAAACCACTGAGATTCAAGTAGAAGGCAATGGGAGGTAAAGAACCGTTTGGGCTGAAAGAGCTCCTTGGCGTTTATGTCTTTTTCCCACAATTCATCCCGACTGTCCCCCTCTTTCCACCAGGGCTGTCTTGGGTCATGGCCAGTGTGACCTGGGCTGACATTAGGCGAGACGCACCCGTCCAGCCAGCTGGTTCCAGCTGTCACCCATTCAGATTCAGTCCCCTCCCCCTGCCCTGCTGCATTAATTGTTAACTACTTAGTATTACTATCTCCCCTGAGTAGAGCTGACTGGCAGATTTTGAGTACACCCATGCTTGTGACTATAAAACTCCAGAATTTTCCCCAACACCACAGTCCTGAAAGGGATGTTAAGGAGGATCTTACAAAAAAGTATTGCAATATCCCTTTGTTTTCATTTTAAAGTTTGTAAGCAGTTATGCCCTGACTCCCTGTAATGCCTATTGCTTAGTTTATTTTAACTCCCCGCCCTCCAGATCGCCTGGAAGTTTCTAAAGCTTTAAAGCAGGAATCAGGTGCGGTGGGAAGGCAAACAGGCTGCCGAGAGCAGGTAAGGAGAAGAAATAGCTTTGCGGTATCAGAAAGAGTTTAGAAGCTGGCAACGAGTGACGGTAGCTGCTGGGCTAATTTGCACATTCTAATCTAGGTCTTTGGGCAGCAATAACGTGGGTGTTTGTTCACTTGGCGCCCCAAGCACTGGGGAATCGCGCCCAAGGCGTTGGCAGGGCTCAGACATCAGTAACGGCTCTCTCCTCTCCGCTGCTACCTGATGTTTGAATAAGGTAGTTTTAGACACCTTCTGCACCAAACTAGTTCTTGGTCAAGAGTACAATAACCTGGCGATGAAAAAGGAAATCTTTCCTCTTAAATAACTAAGGCATTAAAGTAAGAGTTAGAAAGAGAAATTATTCAACACTGACATTTTATTTTTTGAACTTTATCACTTTTACAAAACAAAAGGCAGGTATCAAAAACAGCAAAGAATTTATAGAATTTCTGCACCAGTTTTCACATAAGTCAGTAATTATGAAACTGGTGTTCAATGTAAATACTAAACACAGGCTGATTTCCCTCTTGGTCATACGCATTCAGGTGGTTTGTTTTGGAGCTACTGAATAACAACTCTTTATAAGCACCGATCATTTTTCTGGGAGCTGATTTGGTTTGTCCAACAAAGTAAACACTTTTTGCTGTGTGGCATTTTCTTCTCTTAAAAAACACTGAGCTAAAATACAGAATGTGTGTTTGGATCTGAACCAAATCTTCTGAGATCCCAATTACCCTGAAGAACACTGAAGACATTAATAGGGCATACTGAGTACTAGTTACATACCTCATAATGTCTAAGGCAGCTACTCTAATTCTAAGGAAACTAGCATTTCATTCAGAGGCTGCCCAGAGTCTGAACTATATCATAGTTTCCATGTCCTTTCTGATGTAGAGTATTTTTCCCAAACAGGTCCATATTATTGGGACAGAAGTTTTATGCTCATACCCAATAGGCTCTGGTACTTAATAGGTACATTTGTGTAGAGCAAGACTCCTTGCTCCAGACCCTGGTGACCACAAAGAAATCGAGAGGCCATGATCGTTGGATGTGGAGAGGAGGAAGCGCACTCAGACTCACATACTCTGGCGGCGAGCAGAAACAGAGCTGGAACCTGGTAGTGGTCTTCACCTGCCACTTGTTCCAGAAACACATTTTGCTTAAATAAGGGAACTATGGTCCAGTTTTGCAATGTTAGGAACTGCCAGTCTCTCAAACGTATTTTTCATAAGAATCATTTCCTGGCTAGCAATGAGTTAGGAAATTGGCATCAACTTTTCATCAAATTGATCACTATTAGCCAAAAACAAAACCAAAACACAGAAACAGTAAAACAAAAACCACCAGCTAAGAGGGGTTACAAATTGCACAATTAAACTCGAAGGTAAATTATGCTATATACAGACTGGTATACATATCACTGCAACCGTTTTGAGAGCATGAAACACTCCTGTTGAAAAATTCCCTCTATAGCATCCCAATTTTCATGAAAGGAAAATGGATATGTAATATTCTTCTTTACAGAGATGAAAGAGGAAGCAAGAAGGCAAAGCTGAGAGAAACAGATGCTACCCGAAGGGCAGCGGTGGCATTTGGTTGTTTTGGTCTTTGTACCAGCAACTCCCACACCTACAGGCGCTCCCCAGTCCCTGCCGGACTACACGGTTTTCCTGGCAGTCAGCACGCGGACGATGGAGCCCACTCCTCCAGCGGCGAGCGCCTGCAAACGGACCACAGGTAGGTGTTGATGGGCTCGTAAAGAATTCATTCTTGTACCAAGTGAAACGTTTTTCTTAAAGAAGGTTGTGTGCAGTTATTGATTTCAGAACTAATTTTCATAAATATTCCTTGAGCACCTCTTATGCACCAGGCCCTGTTCTTGGCACTGGGGAAGGGTAATAAACAAAACCTTGAGAGTTCCTGACATGTAGTTTTCAAGTAACAGTATGTTCTCGGGGATCTAGAGCATAATGTTCTTGCCTAAAACAGGTGCTCAAATACACATTTAGGATGTGGCTCTGCCCCTACCCTCTGCACTGCCAGGAAGAAGTCCAAACTGGGATAAACCAACCGAAGTTCTATTGAGTCAGTCAGTATTTGCCAGGTTTTTTCCTCCCAAGGGGGGAAAAAAAATTAAGAATTAAGAATATCAAGAATTATTAAGAAATAAGAATTATTATTGAATAGCTAAGAACTTCAGAACTTTGGCTTTACTGTGAAGAATTGGAAGTCATGCTTAAGCATTAGAAGTTTGAAACTCTAGTTAACTTGTGTTCAAAGAACACTTACTGAATACCTTTGTGTACCGGGTACTGTGCTAGATGCTGGGGATACAAAAGTGAATAAACACAGCATCATCGGGTCTACCAGGAAGATACACACACACACACACACACACACTACTATACTGTACTATGCTATGCTATACTATACGAATACTCTACTGTATGAAGCGACAGAGCTATGCTGTGGGGGCTATAAAAGCACAGAGGAAGGCACGTACCTAGCCTGAGGGTGTAAGGAATGTGGAATGGCCAGGAAAGGCTCCCTGGAGAAAATGATACATGAAATGGAAGAGCAGGTGACAGGCTGACACACAAGGGTACGGAGACACTCAGGTGGAGCGAACGTCAGGAGTGAGGTGCAGCAGCGTGAAGCACTGCGGTGTGTTCAGGGAAAGGACAGATCTTGCTGGGGCAAAAGGAGAAAAATGACACAGCATGTGAAGCTGGACGTGCGAGCCTGGGCTTTGTTTTCCAGGTGGCTGGCGTGTAGACCTGGACTCCAAGAGGGCGCTCTGGGGACAGGGCAGAGAACGGACTTGAGGGAGGTGAGCTGGTGGCCGGGAGGCCAGTTTGGGAAGCAAGAGCAACAGACTGGGAATGACGCTGCCAAGAGCTGCACGGAAGAGGCATCTGTGGGGATGACTGAAGAGGATTCAGGAGGTAAGACTGGCAGAAAACTGGTGACTGATGTTAGAAAGAAATGAAGGCTTGGTATGTGCCTCAATTGCTCCAGCTACGATCAGGGAACCGTATCAAGCTTTCCCTCCTCGTGTTTGCTGTGACCCTGAGGCTACACTGGAACTAGGTTACTTGGGTTCCAACGCTGGCTCTTCTATAAATTGAGGATGATAAGGACATTTATATACCTCACAGAGTTGTTCTAAGGATTAAATGAAACGTAATAGTACGGTGCCTGCCAAACGGAAAGTGTTCCATGGATAGGATGACCGTATAAATTATTCTCCAAACTGGTTCACAGGGTGAAAGGGAACTATTCTTAATTATGTTGAAACAACAGGTGTAAACTGGGGCTATCTTGAGAAAACCGGGAGTTATGGCTACCCCACCCATAAATGTTAGCACTTTTATTTGATAGGGTGTGAGGGATGAAGTGGCCTGACCAAGGCTGAACCACCTGTTTTTATCTTACGTGTGTGTATTTTCACTCAGATACGCAGACAATAGCTTCTGAAAAACTGAGTTTTAAGATATTAGAAAATATACCCTTAACACAAAATGTGCCACTTTTAACCATTCTTAAATGTAAAATTTAGTGGCGTTAATTGTATTCACAATATTGTACAGACATCACCCCTATTTCCAATATTTTTTTTTTATCAGCCCAAACAGAAACTCTGTATTATTCAGCATTAGCTCTTTATTCTCCCTTTTCCACAACCCCTGGTGACCTCTAACCTACTTGCTGTCTTTACGAATTTGCCTGTTCTAGATATTTCATATAAGTGGAATCACAGAGTGTTTGTTTTTTTTGTATTTGGCTTATTTTGCTTTGCATAATGTTTTCAGATTCATTCATGCTGTAGCATGTATCAGAACTCCCTTTCTGGATGAAAAAATTTCTACTTTATTCTACTGTAGGTATGTACCACATTTTGTCTATCTGTTCATCTATCTATGGGTACTTAGGTTGTTTTCACCTTCGGCCATTGTTAGGGAATTCTTGATTTTTATTATTTATTTTCTTTTTGTAGGTTCGATTTAGTTCAGAGTTCAAGATTAGGTTTACTACACCATAATCATTAAATAAAAGTACCGCCAATCAGACTCAAGACCAAGGTTAGTAAGCATAGATCAAAACCTTCATTTTCATGCATTTCTTTGTAATAACAAAGATACATAACCAAGAAGTCCAGGTTATCCAGATAAGAGGCGTTGTCACTGTTATTCTCTACTATCAAGGAACCAGTCACCTAGACCTGCAGTTCACAGCTTACCTTTTCGTGCCACTGCAACAACACGGCACTGCTGTTGTCGGAGGGGCTCTCGAAGCCTTTATAAATATACTTCATTAGGAGATCCACACCGTTCTTGTCCAAGGATTGCACTGCCTTTTCAATATCATTGGCTTTAAAAGAGATGAGCACCTTCAAGACAATGCTGCCTGCCCGATCCTGTGGGTAAATAAATGACAGAACATTTAGACAGATGCGTGAGGGGTTACAGTTTTGCAAAGGCCACAGAGAAGCTGACATCTGAGTAAAGACCCAAAGGACATTGGAGAGGACACCTTGGGGAGACTGAGGGAAGTGTTTCAGACAGAGGGAAGGGCAAGCGCTGTTTGTGTGTCTCTGGACCAGCACACACACTGAGGGCAGCCGCGAGGGGCGCTGGGAGGAGCCGCCCAAGATGCCGCAGAGGGAGCGGGCGGACAGACCCCGCGAAGCCTGCAGGCCGCTCCGGGGACTGCGGCTTTCTCTCAGAGAAATGATGTTGAACTCTGTGACAAGAAAAGTGATGCCATCTCTTTTACATTTGAACAGGGTCACTTGGCTGCCATGTTGAGGACAAGCTGGGCTGGTGGGACCGGGCCGAGGCAGAAGCTGGGAGACGGGCTGGGGAGTTAGTGCAATACTACAGGCTGGTCTGACTGTCGTGGGAGCAGAGGGGGTGGCCAAAGCAGACAGATTCTTGACAGAGCGGAAGGTAGAGCTGGAAGGACTTGCTTAGAGAGAGATGTGACAGTTTACCGATTTATTAAATCCAGATTTTAAAAAATCTTCTTTGAACTGTCCTTCTAATAAGTTATGAATAAAACAGTTTCATGTCTACAGTTAAGACTATACATGTAAGATATATAGTGACCTTCATTTAGAATGATCTTTTTTGTTGTTGATAAAACACTATTCTAAGAGTAAAGTTATTTTTTACTCATTTAGCCAAGCAAAGGGAACACTAAATTTACCCTTTCGATAATTCATTTCTCCTCCTACTCAGGACAAAGTAATACTTCCAGCCTAAATACTGGGCAGGGTTTTACGAAATGTTTCTACCACCTCCCGTTACCTTCAGTTTAAAGACTGTTACGCAATTATGGATTTAGAAAGGTATCTTCGCCTCCAGAGCTATAACCTCCCCCCTCAAACTGTGATTAAAAAAACCACTCACATAAAAGCAGAAGGTGGTACAGTGGCAATTTTAATGATGGTCCTCACAGCTTTTGAATACCAAAGAAATTTCTCCCCTTATAAAATTACATAGCCTAGGTAATTATTATGCACTTAACCTAGTTATTACTACGACTCAACTAAGGAGATTCTTGGGGCGCCTAGGATATATGAATAATACGGAGAGTAGGGCCAGACTCTATGCTGCTTCTGAAACAATAAAAAACCAAAGGAAATAGCTTCTTAAGAATTGCTGAAAGGCTGTTCCAGGGAAGGTAACTCACACAGCTTTTCTGAAGGGCAATTTGGCAACACCACACGTATTGAAAGCCTTAAAACTGTGCATTATAAGGCCCTGGCTGGTGTGGCTCAGTGGACTGAGTGCCAGGCTGTGAACCAAAGGGTGGCTGGTTTAATTACCAGTCAGGGCACACGCCTGGGTTGCGGGCCAGGTCCCCAGCTCGGAGTGTGCGAGAGGCAACCACACATTGCTGTTTCTCTCCGTCTTCCTGCCTTCCCCTCTAAAATAAACAAATACAATCTAAAAAAAAAAAAAAGAAAAAAAAGTGCATTCTAAAATCCAGCGATTCACTTCAAGGGGGAAATTAATAATTTACCAAAAATTGTTCACTTCAGTACTGCTTAGGACAAGAGATTAGTTTATATACGAACTGCAGCGCATCTATATGCAGCCATTAAAAAAATGTTATAAAAATAAACTTCTTGCCAAGGAAAGATGTTCATGTACACTGCCATACAATTGAAAAAGGTTATAAAATTCCATTTTCATTTTAAAAAAACACCGAAAAAACTGTGTAAGTATATAGCAACACCTTTTGTATCCTTCCACATCTCTTGGGTTTTGTATAATAAACATTTCATACTTGCATAACTTTACAAAATCTTCAAAAAGTACACCTGTTCATTTTGTAGCAATTTTACTTAGTCATCAAGCCTTTCCTCAAATCTATCCCGGGGCCTCTTCTAAAAACACACAGAACTGATCTATGTCATCTGAACTTAGTGTGTCTACCAGGCAGCATTCTCATGCAACGTAATCAACGTGACAGTGTTAGTTTTCACATGTACACTTTTAACCTACCAAACTACACCATAAGCTCTCCTATGTCAAAGACAGCACGTCTTTAAAATACTCGCTGACGGTGGGGCTGCAGAGGGTCGGGGGAAGGGTGCCAGGGCATCGGCAGAGAGCGCTTGGTCCCCGTGACTCACCTTCACCGCCTGACTCTTGGTGTTGATAGGGGGGTTTTTCAGGGCGGCCTGGAGGGCTGCTGTCATGTTTCCTGTGCTGGAGGTTAAGGGGGAAGCAGCAAAGGGCAGCCCTCAGGAAAGCACTGTATCTACCGGGAACCATTGGTTCTTAAGACTTCGCTTTATGCACGGAAAGAAAAATCACTATGGTCACTAGGTTCAATATGGGAAAATTCAACACGTGGGTTTCAAGTATGTCAACCAAAGATAAAATACTTAAGATGAAAAAGAATATTCGATTAAAAAAATAAAAAGTAAAGCAAAGACCATGTCCTCCTGGGTTCTAATTATCAAATGAACACCTGACTAACCTCTCATTTTCTAGTAGGACACATATGGAAATATTATTCAGTGATATTTATAAAAAACTCTAAAATATGTATCAGAATTATTAGGACCCAAAATGAAAGATCCTATCCTCAACCAAGGCATGTCCTTTTATGTGATTCTAACTGGAAAAAGAAAAGATCAAACTTTTGCCAGGATTATATTCTATATTAATTGAAATGCTGGCAGAAAATGCTGGTCAATTATGCCGAATGGTATACAATACATTAGTAACCTCTCAATATTGGTGAAAAGAGGCATTAGAGAACATGGAGTTCAATGACTTAAGTGATGACAACTTTCTGTTTTGGGTATTTTCTCTTGTATTTCATAAAGGTTATTCAAATGGTCTTAGGCCACACCTATTAAATTCAGTCTCTCTTTGAAAGCACCAGTGGGTTAGCATGTATGAGACACGGAAGGCCAATCAGACTGTGAGAATGTACAGTCTTTCCCCTAAAAGGAAAACCACACAGAACTCACTTGTTCCTCCATCTGTAGGGCCAGACCAGCGTTTATCTCTTCGGGTTGTAACAAGAGTAGAAGAGACAGTATCTTTATAAACAGATCCACTATGTGGGCACAGCAAAGCCATTTAAGTCATTTCGTATCATCTAAAGTAAGTTAGTTTCACAAACATCATTCATCCATCACAAAGAATGTTTCTGGACAGAATAATGTTCACCACTTATTTCCTGAAGGGGAAAAAAAAAACCCCTATGGTTGGTGGTAAGCTGTTATTTTCAGGGTTTAATCAACTAGAGAAGCAGGCTTTTTGTAGAATGGCTCATTTTTAAGACCCCAAACATTTAAGAATTTAAATAATTCAAAATAGCAACAGCTGATTGTGAAAGTTGTGGAAATCAAAGAAACATCTGTATGTTGATAAATGTTTAAGGCTGTATTTTAGGTGCCTTTAAGACCAAATATAGTTCCTACCAAATATTGTCATTCATCTATTCCCCCATTATAATTTAATAGGACATTGATGAAGAGAGTCTACAAAGCCTTCCTTATAAATATACTCAAGAACAATTAGAAATGAGTGGATTCAGTAATTGAGAATCTAAAACTACAGCTTTGGTTATTGCAACATTTACATTTTTCTAAAAAAGATCTGATGCAAATGTTCAAAGTTATGAATATTCAAGTATGCAAAAACAAAACCCAGGAACTGGCAGTCACATTTTAACTAAAATGGTAACGATTTCAGAATTATAAAAATGGTTCTGCTTTGTACAAATGGCTAATGTTTTTCTATTTTATTCATTGGGGTTTATTTGGGATTCTCCACATGCATCGTCTTCTTTCTATCCTCCTTTGCTCAGCAGGTAAAAGCCTCCCAGGTTCCTTCTCAGTGTTTAGGTTGTTTTGTACTCTCGCCCCTTCCCCTGGTTAACAAATTCTGTGGTACCTGTGTTTTGTCAAATACCTTGAAAAAAGGAAAGCCCCAGGCTGAAGGGACAGAGCCTCATTCTGCAAACCCACCTCTCCTGGCTAGGAATAAACTATCCTAACGCTACCAAAACAAAACTATCACAACAAAAACAAAATCGCTAAGGGAAGATGCTCATTCCTCCCCGACAGAAATTCCTGGAGTTGACGTGACCCCAGGAAACAGCCTTCCGGGAGGAAAACTTCAGCGCCCTGATCAGTCTAGATCAGCCCAGGTGCCTCCCCAGCGCCGCCAGGGCGCGGCCGGCACAGCCAGTGTCCCGGAGGCAGGACTCCGGGCGCAACCTGAGGGATCGAGGGGCGTGGAAGGTGCGCTGGCCAGGCTGGTACCGACAGCGGGCCCCTGGGGTCTCGGGACGTCCCGGTGAGAAACAGAGAGCCCTGCCACCTCGGAATGGGGGACCCCAAAGACACGGGCTCAAGCCTCCGGACGCTGCAGGCAGCTCCAAGCCCGTCCCCCGGGAGGGGCCCGCCCCCTCACACCCAGCAGGCGCGGGGTCGAGAGGGAAGGGCCAGGTCGGGTGGGGTGGGGTGGTGGGGGAATGCAAGGATATTGCCGCAGGCAGGAGTCCACCTCGCCCTCGTCGGGCCCGGCCTGCCCGTCGCCCCCATCTTCCTCGTCCACGAACTTGTTCTCGTCGTACTCATCTACGTCCACCTTCCGGAACCGGGCCGACGACACCGTGTTCTTCGACATCCCCGATCCGGAGCGGTGGCTAAGGCCTCTTCTTGGTGCTGCCTCTCGCTCAGTGAACACAGCCCGGCAGGAACCCGAAGCCTGGTGCCTTCACTTCCCTCTTCCGCTCTGGGGCGTCGCCGGCAGCCCCGGCTCGGGCGGTTCTGGGCCTGCGCGATGGCCACAGTCCTTCCTCCTGAGGTTCCTGCAGTGTTCAAGCCTCCCACGCCGCCCCTGCACTCCCCGGGGAGCGCGCGCGAGGTGGGGAGCGCGCTGGAAGCAGTGCGCAGGCGCAGACTCTCAGCAGGAAAGGGGCGGGGCGAAGGAGGCGGGGGCGGGGCAGGGGAGGGCACAAAGCGCTGCCGCGGGCAGCGGTAAGAGGCGATTGGGCGTCCGACTCAGCCACGTGATCCTGAGGGGTTTCCATAGAAACGCTTCTCTGCGGTCCAGTCTAGGGGGTCTTAGGTTGGCTGCGATGGACGCTGGAGGCGGTTGGCCTTGGTTTTTGCTGCCGCCGTCGCTGCCAACGACCTGTCATCCGGGTCCTGCGTAAGGTCCGGCTGGGCCGGGCTTGCCCGTGAGGTGGGATGGACTGGTTGTCGGACCAAGTGCCCTGCAGCTGGCAGGAGTATGGGGCGGAGTGATGCACTGCCGGGCGCCCAGTATCGTTCTACTTGGCGGAGACATTGCTTCGGGCCGCGCGCTGCCCGTGGCTGCGTGCCCGAGCGGGAGCCCCTTTCCCGGGGTTGGAACGACGCTGCGCGGCGAGCGGGAGATCCCCAAGGACAGAACCGGAAGGTCGTATCCATCTGTCAGTGCTGTGTGACAGCACCGCGGCGGCACCTGCAGAACCCGAGCTAGGTACCACATCCCCTGGGAGGGAGGGGGAGGTGTCTGGGCAGGGCCTGGGGTCCGATGGCAACACTGGGGGGAAGCTGTGGTATGTGTGTAGGTCATCATTGGCATTTTAAACAAGTGGTCATTTGGGGCAAGAGTGCTAGAAAAGCTACAGTAGGGGCGAGTTAACGTTTTCTGGTGTTCAGGGGCAACAAAATGGGTAAGAATTAGTGGCCGCCATACCTTTAAGATTTGTGTTTGTGATTTAAGACTTATGTGATCCCTCTGGGCCAGCTTTTTATTTTGACATCCCCATTTCTGAGAGCATAGCTCTTAGCGAAGAGGGACAGGCACTATAACTGAGGAAATGTGCTGTGTGTATGACACTGAAGTATAAATGTTTTCAGAATAAAATTCACTTGGGTATTTGGCTGACTCTCAGATGGGTTTTATGTTTTCCTGACGTCCCATGAGGTCTGGTTTAATTCCACCTCTAGCGCAAGGCCGACTGTTGCCCTGTTAAGTACTCCAATTCTTGCCTCCTGTGCTGTATTGAAAAGGGCGCTGGGCTTATAATCAGTAAATCCTGGGTCTGAGTTTTGACTCTTCCGCTCAGTCTATTTGATTGAGGCATGCCGCTTCAAATTCTGGATCTCAGGTTCCTCGCTGCTGAAGCGGGGCTGATGATGTGTACTTAACAAGATTGTTCTGAGTGTTAAACACAAGAAAGTGTTTTGAAGCTCTAAAATTCTACACAAATGTGAAATGCATGCTCCCTGTACATTGATTTTGGCACTAATCATAGAAATCACCTCATGATATATTGCATTTTACCTTGCCCCCTGGAAGAGAAGGAAAGATTCTGGAGTGTGAGGCTGTCTTATATTTCTTTTGGATCTTCCTTTTGGGTCTGGAAGGTACTCAATACATTCAGGTACTCAATTATTCCCTGATGAATGAATACATTGTGAAAGGCATGACAGTTTGAGAATCACATTGAGAACAATGTACCAGTAAAAAGAGGGAAAAAAGATCTCAAAATCAAATATTTGTTGGACACATATGCATATATATGGAGAGAGAGAGAGAGAGAGAGAGGAGAGGGAGATGCAGAGATGAGGTAGAGAGACAGAAGCAGAGAGAGACAGACAGTGAGAGAGAACCCTCAGGGATGCATTGTTTTTCATTGGGAGGAAGAAGCAATGTGGCATTTTTCTTTTCCCAATTAAATTACCCTTCTAAGAGGTGTATCATTTAGGCAATGAAGTGACATTTCTCTAAATTAACATTTAAGTTATGAACACGCTGGTAAAAACTTCTCCAAGGGCTGTCTTAAGGCAGCAAAGGAAAATTTTCTACCTGTTGGTAGTCTTTATTTTAAAAAGCCTTCTACCAAAGTATCAGAGCGTTACTGTGGTGAATGGTGTTATATAATTTAGACTAAAGATTTTTAAATATTCTCTTTTCCGTTTCAATTTTTTGCTAACTTTAGTAAGAACTAAACAATATGCTTGTTTAGATGCTACAGAGAATTGTACTTTTTGTTTTTCTAAATCAAGATTTTTTTAAAGAGAACGTTGAACATTAGAAGCACTATTGAGAGCAAATGGAAACAAGGATTCAAGAGCTAATACATCCCTTCTCTTATGTTTCTGTTCTTTTATATTAGGTCTTACTTAGGAAATTCCTTTATTACTTCATTTTAGAATTGATAAAGAATCCCAGAATAGAAATCAACCTAAGGGAATAGCGAGGGAGATTTTAAAAAATCGAGTTGCTCAAGGGTATAATTGTTCCTGATTGTTCAGAATTTTGCTCTGTGTGTTGAATGTGTTAAATACAATGAATTAATTCTCAGCCACATAATGCATATTATGTCTGAGGTGCAGTAATGCCCAAAACATGCGTTTCCAATGAAATTCATTGTCTAACAATAAGTACCTTGTACATATTAGGTAACACAACATTTCTATTTAATGAATTAATACCCTGCTAAAATAATTTGGACTCATATGTAGAGGCTACGCGTTTTTTAAGGAACTCATTCATTGCCCCTCTAAAGTGTTGGGGAAGGTGGTTTGACCAGAGGCAGGGGGCACACAGCACGACACACGGGTTGTACCACAGAAATGTATGATCCTATTGATCAATGTCACCCCGGTAAATTCAGTAAAAAATTTTTCTATGTGAAGAAACCTGTCCTTAATTATGTTTTCATTAAAAAATACACATTATTCTACTTTCTTGCAAATTACAAATATCTAATGTTAATCATGGTACTTCATTCATTTGAGGTAATATTATTCTCCCTATTTTAATTTTCCAAAGAAATGCTTATCCCTGACATAGAGGAGCCATAGGTTTTAAGACTTTTTATTTATTGTGTAAATAACCTGGTTTGGTTCAATACTGAACCAATACTGAATTTTCTGGAGGATACTGAATTTTCAGTATTGAACCAAATTTAATACTGAATTTTCTGGAGGATAATGCTGCATGGTAGTATATAGCTTCTTATCTTCTGTGATAATGCAAACAGCCATTCTCACAAAAGATCTTTTTAGTTGGAAAGGGGTTTGATAAAACTATCTTGTGATAGGTTTTTCCTTTCATATATTTTAAACCAGGTACTCTTCCTACAATGCGCTTCATTTCCCCAGCCTTGCCACTAAGTACTTAACAAACCAAGACCTTGCATCCTTCAGCATGGCAGGATTATTTTTTGAAATGGCAGTGAGCTCAGTATTATGTGTTATAAATATAAAATAAATTTCAGTTCTGGCAATGATGATTTAATCTCACTGTTCTCTAGCAACATAATTACTACAGGAGAAAAAGATTTGTTAGCATGTTACCCATAAACTATATTATGGTAAAACGTTTTTACTTAATATCCAAATGAACTGGTTCTATGTTGACAGCACCAATCTTCAAAACTTCGTTTTTTCTTTGTGATTAATTTTAGCTTTACATAATTTTATGATTACACATTGAGATAGAATAATAGGATGAACTATTTTACAATGAGACCTTTACTTCTTTATGTGTTAGTACTTCAAAGACTAAAACATTTAAATCTGTACTCTTGTCTTGGAAAAAAAATTTTAGTGCTAAATGAAAGAGTAAACCTTGTGTGTTAAACATTTTTGTGAATGGGACTATATTTCTATAATTTTTTACCTGCTTATGATAACATAAACAGAAGCTATGGATTTAAACATTTATCTATTCCATATTCTTTCATATTACTGGGGTCTGGTATTAATGCTAACGGTTGTTTTAAGGTTATATTTCTTGCCAGAGTATACAAACAGTATTTGAAATCATGATAATTTACTTCTCCAATATTAATGTAACATTTGTTTTTCTCATCTTGTTACATTAGCGAGGCTCTCAAAACACTTAAAAAATTGGGTGCTAGTATGCTTCTCTTCTTTGTTTCTATTTTAGCAGAAATGTCTATAGTATTTGATCAGTTTATATTTTCTCTTGCTTTATGATCTTTAGGCATGATGGCTGAAATTATCAAGTGCTTTTTGGGGGCAGCTAATGATAAAAACCATGTAGTTTTTGATTCTTTAATTTATGAATATAATGAAAATTATATTTATATATTTTTCTGCACTGAACCATTTCATATTGCTCGAATAAACTCTATTTGGTTATTATTTTAATTGCTTGCGAAATTTGATTAGTGTTTATGTCGTTTATATGATTTCAGAATCTCTAAGTCAGATTGGTTCATAGTTTTATTTCTTTGCACTGGCCTTTATCCAGTTTTGATATTATTGTTAGTCTAGCTTTGTAAGGTGAACTGAGAAGATTTTCACCTTTCTTTCCCCCTATGCTCTGGAATATTTTGAATAATACAAAGTTGCCGTGCTATTTTTTCTTTGAAAGTTATAGTCTGTGCTTACAAAATATCTAGTCTCACTAATATTTTTAGAGGTAGATCTTTGAGCCTATTTATCTTTTGTCATTATTGACTCGTTTGGTTTTCTTTCTCTTTTTCAGTCAATTTTAGAATTTATGTTTTCCTAGTAAATCATGCATTTCATCTAGATTGTCAATTTTTTGGCAAGAAGTTGCAAAAAATACATATTCTTACAATTATTCTAGCTTATTCCATGACCATGGATATATGGCTTTTCTCATTGCTACTTATTAAGCAAAATATTAAAAACAACATTTTTTCTTCTCCTAACCTGATTGTCACAAATTTTAGAAAGACTTTTACTTCTTACAGAAAATAGTCATCTCAGACCTATTTATAGTTGTGATAGAATCTGAAAGCTCTTACAATTCCTATCCTTTTCTACTACCTATCATCCTATTAATATTTTATTAATAATAGCAACCACTTGATGAGTGTTTATTTTTTCTTAGACATTTGGTTAATAAGCTCTTTATGGTACTAACATTATTTAATCCTTGGAGTAGCTCTAGGGCCTAGGAATTGGTGTTCCCATTTTATGGATGAGAAAATTAAGGCTCAGAGAGATTAGGTAACTCTGTCAATGATACTCAGCTAACAAGCAGCAGACTGGTGAGGGAATTAGGGCTCTCAGATTCTGAAACTTGTGCTTTTACTCACTCCATGGAATTATTGCTCTGATGCATGCAAATAAAGCTGAAAGGATCCTTAAAGAAGATCTCGCTCAGGTCCCTTGTCTTTCAGATGAGGAAGCAGAGACTCCCTGCCTAGGGCCATGCGTCTTTATGCTTTCTTAGCAGTCTCTTGTTGAAGGCTTAACCGTATTGGCCTGGCCTCCTTGACCTAACATTCTTCATTGTAGCCCCAGTCTCACCTATCCAGCGCAAAAAATTTAACTGCCCAAAGCCCTTTTCTTTTCTATAGTTCTGCAACATTTCTCTTTGTTATACACCATTGACATCCAAGATCATATTTGAAATACTTACCTAATAGGGGGACTGGGAGGGTTAAATGAGTTAATACATGTGAAGTATTTAGAAAAGTACTCGACATGTAGCTCTCAGTAAATGTTAGGTAGTAATATTTTTAATTAGTATAGGTTGCCATGAAGCTTTCCTTACTTGGAAATAAGATGAATGACGTTACATTTTGCGAGTTAAGTATTTTGGTTTGCGTGTACTATGAATCAAAAGAGATGCGTGACAGCACTGTAAAGAGACAGGTTTGCGCCCAGGCCAGCAGGATTAAAGTGTGGCTCGACGAAATGTTCTGGGGCCTCCTCACCACTGTCCAGGGGGCAGGTGCCCTTGTGTACATCACATCATTTCCTTTCAAGGGGCAGATGCCCATCCTGGGTAGCCAGAGCCTGAGAGCACTATCATCTGAATCACGTAATGAGCTCCTTTAATGCACAAAGTAAACTTCTGACTACAGTTTGGCTTCTCCTGTGGTTTATCCACATGGCAAAGCTGTGTGGGCAGAACAACTGAAACGTCTGGCTGCATATCCAGTTGTCAGTCGCACTGGAAATCAGTAGGTCAGCTTTCTGCCTCTACACATCCATCCTGGGAGCTTCGTTGGCCCAGGTATGCTCCTGATTAATAAATGCGCTCTCCCTGTATTGACTAAGTAGTAGCTGAACTTTCAAAGCTGAGGGTCAAACCCTGGACCATGACAGACTGACCAAGGTAATGCTTCCCGGTCCCACCATCATCAGTGTCTTGGGATAAAACTCCCTGCCTTTTTTTGATTACTGCACCCGCTAATCATTTATTGGCTTGTATTTTCTTTATTGGAATTTCAATATGTGTGGTGGCAGTGATAATTCTTCTATATCACCATTTCCAGTTTGTGGAAGGGAGGTGGAACATTCCAGCTCCTAGTCATCCCTAAGTCCCTGGCCCAGCCTGACGCGACCGAGAACCCATCGTGGGGTGAGTTAGGAGACCTGATCGTTGCACTGAACGAGCTCACTCCATGAAACCGCTGCTCTGTGTGCCATCTCAAAGCAGACAAAGCTGAAAGGAACCTCAAAGATGATCTTGCCCATGCCCCTTGTCTTTTCGATAAGGAAATGGTACTCACCTAGGGCTGTCTCTCTTTCTGCTCTCTTAATAGTTTCTTGTCTAAGTCTTGACTACATTGGCCTGGAGTCATGACCTGTCAGTAACATTCTTCTTCCTAGCCCCTGTCTTATCTACCCAGTACAAAAATTTAACTTTTCTATAGTTCTGGCAACATCTTTCCCTTTGTTATATACTATTGGTATCCAGAGTCACCTTTGAAATCCAAATTCGTCATAAATTTCAGACTGTGTTTCTATCTGGATCCTTTGTAGCCAGATTGATTTTGGAGATAGATTTTGTGGCAACTAATTGGATCTACTTTTTTTTTTTTTTTTTTGAGGAGCCTACAAGGTGGACAGGTAGTTCCTGCTGGGCTCTCACCAGCCGATCTGGCCAGAAGCTGTAGAGCTGGCTCCCAGGCCTCGCTGGCTTGCTGGCGCCGTTGTTCAGGCCACCTCTCTTCTCTTACAGTGATTGCAGATGCTCACTTTGTTGCATTGGGTTCTTTTTAAACTCTATATCCTAAATCATAGACACGATTTTATGACTTAATAAACTTCACAAGTACCTCCTTAAATAATAATTACTGTATACCCAAAATACAGTTCTAATGCTTTTATAAAAATTTCAGGTTAACAATAGGAATTTCTTTAAAAATTTTTATTTATTTTAATCACAACAGGAATTTCCATTTTAAACATTTTCCTTTTCTTTTAAGAGGAATGTGAGGCAGCAAATGTGAATTAATTAAACACCAACATGGTGTAATGAGCATGCTCAGAGGGCTCGTCAAAGAGCACTTCCTGAGAAGTGTGTTTTGAACAAGATTTTGAGAAGGTATGGATATGCACTGGTGAAAAAAAGTGGTCAGAAAAAAGGAAGTAAAACAAATTACCAATATGCACTGGGGGGCAATATCAGAAGGAGGAAGAATGGATGCTCACAACAACAACAACAACAACAACAACAACAAAAATATGTCCTTTGAAGAATAGTTAAGTGGCCACTTGGCTAGAATGGAGGAGAATATTGAGGAGCAGTGACTGGTAGTTTTGAGATGTAGATTCACAGCCTTGCTACCCATAGTTTGCCTGGATATGGTGCTAGATCCTAAAGGGGAACTAAAGAAATGAAAGAGACAATACTTGGCCTATGGGAACTTACAATCTTGCTGGTGAGACAGGGCAGCAGGAAGGTAGAGGTGGAGCCTTGAGAGCCAGTATGAGTGGCTTGGATATTATAAGGCGCGTGATGGAAAGAGCCTTCAGAGAGTCTCATGGGCCATCCCGCCTCTATCATCTGCTCAGGCGGGAGAGGACTACGCTGGTGAAGATCAAACCGAGTGGGTGGCTACATTTCAAAAATCAATTTTTGTAGCTCTATCTAATCAATTAGCAGAAGAGCTTTCTCCCCACACAGAACTAGTTCGAATCATTTTAGAAAAAAAAATGGGCTGCCTAAAATCCTCGTCCACAATGAACAATTAATGGAAAATCACTGGTTTTCTTTTGGAAATAGCACTTAAGGCCAGTAACTTCAGGCTGTTCTCCAATTTTACAGCAAATTTTTATACTAAAACCAATTTAGGAAGCTATTTAGTTTATAGGCTTTTTTTAATGGAAAGATGATACGAGTAGACCAGAATAATGACGTTTTCTTTACCATTTTGATAGTCACTTTCAAAATAAAGGGAAGATATTAAGTTGCTTATGGAAACATTTTGGATTATGTTTAAAATAGTGTCACTTTATAATAGTTAAGATGGTAAATAATTCAGATTTTGCCTACAGTGTATCAGTTTATCCCATCTCAGATCATACCTAAGAGAGAAAGTTTCCAGATTTTTGTTGGCTTTCCTGGAAGTCCTCCGGTAATTATTTGGTCTTATGTTACAGGAATGTAGATTTTATTTTCTCCCTTTCTTTTTCTTCTTTTCATCTGCCTCGTTGTTACTTACAGACTGCTCTGTGACTTCTGCTGTCCCCGCTGGCACTGCAGTAGGAGGCCTCCTGAAGTCCTTGGCTTCCTGGAATGACCTTTGGGGCATATTTAAGTGCCTTACAACATTCCTGGGTTTGTATGGGTTTTGACCTGCATGGATCAGTGGCCGGTCTCTTAAAGGCACAAGCACAAAGATGACGGGAACCCTCAGGTCTGGCGGCAGATGGGGTGGCGCTTGTCCACTCGTCACTTGAAGAGACTGTCCAGGAAAGACATTGTTGAAGGGGTAGCTCCCCAAAGCTGCCTGGGCTGTGATGTTCTGATGCTCTTTTGCCTGGGAAAGAACATCAGTGAAATAAGGTTTCACTCCCGTTATGGCGCCAATTTCATACGCGTTGTGCCTGTCAGCCAGCGCTCTCCCCATTAGAATGGGCTGGAAAACAGTTGATCCGAAAACGCCGCTCACAGCATTGTCAAGGAGAAAATGCCAGATCCCACCACTTAGCGGGCTCAGAGTGACCTTTGGCCACAGGCTAGCCAGGCTCCGGAGAGCTTCGCGGTTCCACGCCAAGGCAGGAAAGTCAGTGCCAGTGTGATAGAGCTGAGAGAAGTAAATACTAAGCGTGACGTCTGGATGCATGATCAGGAAATTGCACATTTCGCTGATACAGCAGTGGTCGGCTTCATGGCAAGGGGAGCCGCCGGCATACAGGATGATATGCCTGATGCCATCGCGATTGTAGATGGCCGAGTCAAAATAACCGTTCGTCTCGAATAGCATTGATTCTGGATGAGTATTATTCGCACTGCAACTGCTGGCATGACCCTTTTGCATGAGGCTTCCAGTAGCAGTTTTCAGTTCGTGAAACATGAGGTGTTTTGTTTGAGCATGTGTTGGCCTGTAAGGGAATCCAAAAATCAGATAGAATTCTGTGTAGGAAACTCTTGCTTCTTCACCTGTCCGAATATGGTAAGGACAATTAGAGCAATCTAGAGAGAAGCTTAGCCAATAATAAGGTTTTACTATTGTTCCACGGTTTGCTAGGTATTCCTCAAATAACGGTTCCATTGCTAGTTTTATTGTCTTCTAGCTGCAAGCCTAAACAAGGAAGAGAAAAATATAGATAAAGCCAGTGCAGGAAAAACTAAAGACAGCGCATTAATTTACTGAGTCATATTTTTCTTTAAAGTAGGCAGTGTGATAACCATGGTAGCATTCTTTGAGTCTAAAAGATAATTATATATATCCATTGCTTATAAAGCTCAGGATTCATCTTTGAGACTCTTAGGGAGGGGGAGGAGACAAAACAGAAAGACGTAATACACCTTCCCGTTTCATAGATTCTGAGGCAACAGAGCTCATGGGTTAGTGGTGATTGTGGCGCGGGGTGGGGGGTGGGGTGGGGGCAGGGGGTTGAAGGTGGAAGAGAGTATAGCGGGGGATAAATGGTAATGGGAAAAAATACAATAAAAAAAAGTGCCAGGTGAGTATTCTTGGGTCGTGGATACTCATTCATCAACATCTGAGAGTTTTATTTCCAGTGGTGGGTTTTGTTAGAGCATTTTGGAAATTTTACTATTCCAAAAGCACATATGGTTCTTCAGGATACTTGAGATAGTTTCTGGGATGTTAAAACCAAAAAATGGAGATCTTTAAGTAGTTTTTTTCCTTTAAAAAATATTCCTTCAGTCATCATTGTTCCCAGGCAACAACTGAGGGATTGTAACTTTTTATTATACCCATAGTACATGTTTCTTGTAGAATTTTTAATAATACTGACACATAAAGGAAAAATAAAACTCACGCCGGTTTGTATCAGTTTACATTTCCGTTACCGTTACCGGCCTGTTCCCTCCAGCCTTTCTGCTTCGTGTGTGTGTGATACACAAATAAAGTCGCGTTTTATACTTTGCCTTTTCATTTGTCATGAGCATTTTTCCTCATCATTAAAATTCTTGAAAAAAAACTACAGCATTAATGGCTAATTAGCATTTTATTACATACCTATAGCTTTCAGGTTCTTGTGTCATTATTTTAAATAACACTTTCATGAATATTTCTTTAAATAAATCATTCGTATCTCTGATTCTTTTCTTCAGTGTGGAAATACTGGAAGTCATATTCTTAGATCAAACTTTCTGACATCCCTTCCTAGGAAGGTGTACCGATTTTATCACATTCTCTCCCACTGTTGTTTACAACACCCTCTGCCAGCTTGCAAAATGAAACTTCTCTTTGTGGTTATAATTTGTACCTTTTCAACTTCTAGTGAGGCTGAACACCTTTTCACATGCTTATTGGTCTGTAGTACTTATTCCTTTGAGAAATATATTTGGTCCCTTTCCTTTTTTGTATGTTTGTTTGAGGTTTTTCCTTGTTGATTTGCAAGAACTGATGTGTCAAGAATATTAGCTGTCACATTTGTCGCAAATATTTTACCTGGGTTATAGAGCCTTTTAATCGTGCTTATGGTATTTTAATTGCACTAAATTTTTCTTTTTTATGTGGTCTGATATTTATCCTTATGATTTATTTTTTTACTAATGAATTTAGAAAAGGCTTTCCCATCAAAGGGGAGTTAAGTATCCCCTATATTTTCTTCTACTACTTATAGTTTCATTTTTTACATTTAACATTTTGTCCAGGTAACAAAACCGATAAAGTGACCATTGCAGCAAAACCTATTTTTTTACTTTCCAAAATCTAATTTATAACTTCCAAAGTATTTCTTGCAGCCTCTGATATGGACACCCTTTAATCAGCTTCTGTCTCCCTCAACCCAGATCACCTCAGTCGTTGCGGTGTGTGGCCTCCGGGCTGAAACCTGCACAGGTCCTTGTATAACCCTGCCCTGGACAGAAGGTACTTTGGGACGGCAATCCAGCTGTAGATGGAGTGTGACTTCGCTTATGTCACGGTTATCGTAATGGCTGATATTTCTGCAGTAACTCTGGGCGTCACATACCCGTCGCATTCCAGATTTCTCTGACCTCTGTCCTGTCAGCTTAGTCCAAAGGAAGGGGGGTTTGCCTCAGTTTCCTCATAAGCGTTGTATTTTTCTGCTGAAAGTGATTTCCAGCCCTGAGGCTTCCTAGACCTTAGGTAGCTTTTCCTGGGGTCCCTGAACTCTTTCTGCATAACCCTTGGCAACGGATCTGTCACCTGGGACCTGGCCCGGTCTGCTGCTTGATCCTGAGCCTTGACTGTCAGCATCTCCTGCTCTCTCAGTCTTACTCGTTGGACTGGGTGTCTCTGAAGATCAAAACTTGCTGAAACCAAGCCCAAAGTCTCACTCTTTTTTGAATATTGTCCCCTGGGTGTCGGCCACCGTTGGGTGGCACACCTGATATCCAGGTTACTACTCAAATTACTATTTCAATTCACCCATAGAAAATTCACAGATTGGTTTGGCTAAAATGTTATGGAAGCAGCACCGAGAGGCCCTTTTCTGAGCGCGCGCATGTGTGTGTGTGTGTGTGTGTGTGTGTGTGTGTGTGTGTGTGTGTGTGTGTGTGTAGGGGGGTGTTCGGTGGGTGGAGTTAACACTATAAAAGGGTCCCAGAATTACCGTTTGGGGAAGCAGAGCTTTTGGCTTCTTTCAAGACCCAGGCGGGATGGGAGCTCCCAGCGGCTTTCCCGAGCGCTCCTTCCTTTGCCGTCGCCCTCCCCTACGGCCATTGGAGCAGAGGAAGGTGCATCGCCCTCGAGGGCGAGTGGCCTTCATCCTAACGGAGGGAGCTCTGGAGTTTCATTCTCGCCCCAGGCTTCTAGAGCCAGCCAGCTGGGGCTCCTTTGTGGGCGGCCGTTTGATCTCCCCCACCTGAAGGGAAACAGGAAAGAACGGTTGCCCTCTTTGAACTCCAACAGAACTTGTTCCTGTCGCCCATTAGCCATTGATCACCGTACTGGTAACTAGTGGTATGTGTCCTTTCGTTCTCCCCTAACCAGCAGAGAGATGCCCGGTGAACCCAGGGCCGGGCTGGCTCAGGCTCTTTCCCCAGCCTCCCGTGTCCCTGTCACCGGTCCTCTTCCTTCTGCCTTGCTGTGCGTGGGGCACGCGTCTGGCCCTCGCAGCGCAAAGGTGCGGGCGGCGGGCGGCGGAGACCTGCGCAGCGATAGGCGGCGCTGCTGCCCCGCCAGGGGGTCCTGAGCGCAGGCAAAGCCCGTTTGCACCAGAGTCGCTAGAGAACGAAGTCAGCCCTCCCCAGTCTGTGCACAATCTGCTCGCAGCTAAAAACAAATGTTAACAGTTAAAATTACCGTCGTTTTGTCTCCAGGCTTGGATCACACTCCAGGTGTTCTCGGAGATGGTCCATTTTCTTCTTTACCCTCTTAAAGTTCCCCTTTCAAGTAGCTTCAGACGGCAACTGTGCTGTAAAGATTCACCTCCTATTACCGGTTCAGGACTTTTTCACGGTTTGTGTCTATAGTTCGTTTGAACTTTGCTTTTCCAAGTTAGAAAGGCCTTGCTGAGGTGCCGCTGCTTCTAAGAACACTGTTGAATTGGTGCCATGGTAACGTTTGCAAAAGAAGCTACTGCTAGGAGACGGCTCTGACACTTAGTGCTTCATTTGCATTTCAAACCACCTGTTCCAAAGATGAAAATACACAGGAATGCATGTTCCACTCGGGAAAAAACCGTAATATCTGACTGCTTGAGTGAACGTGTTGGGTTTTTACCCCTCTCCTGGCCGTCAGAATCAAGTTCTGAGGTCAAGTTTCTCCTCATGTGGAATAGGTTCTGGGCTTGGTGTGTGGACAAGTTTTGCTGGTTCTGTGGCCTGTGGAGGCTCTGGGCTTCTCCGTGAGAGCTTTGCCCTTCCCTGAGCGCGAGGCCCCAGGGAGAGGAAGCCCAGACTGGACTTCCCCAAAGGGAAGTGCTTTCTACTAATAGGCCACCCTCCCTTGGAGGGGGAGCTCTTTATTTGGCCTATACCTGGGTTATTCTGTGCTAGCAGTTTCCTTCCTCTTACAAGTTCCCTGGGAGGCTCTTGCTATCAATATGTATGTGGTTCCCTCCAGTTTAAGAGACAGTTGTGGCCCTCTCTCTGTGGCTGAAGGAAGAGCCACTTGTCCTCATCCATTCGTTGCCCTGGCCCCTCATCTCCACACCATTTCCTGGGACACTAGGCATGGGGACAGTCACATTCACTCTTGGATTGTCCCTCCTTTCCTCCCTCAGGCCACTGGAAGGAGTGAATGCTGATCACTGTCTTTGATTTCCCTCACTTACCACCAGAAGCTCTTATGCATATATACTGCTCTACAAGTCACCCATCAGGGATAATGGAAGCACCTAGAAGCCTTCCTGCAGCAGCGTCACCAACTCTGAACCCGTTTCTCATAGTCAGATGTCCGCTCTCCACACCAGCAACAGTCCCCTGCTAGTGGAGCTCTGTCATGCTGATCGGTGCATTCGTCACCTCCTCAGCGAACTACCTTCCGGCTGTGTCTCCCTCAGGCTGCCTTTGGTACCTGTTCGCTCCACTGCATCCCCTTCCTTCTCCATCGTTTACCGCTGCTCACGCCTTTACTGCTCCCACATTCTGCCTCCAATTTCATAGTATCTCCTAATTCAATGAACTTGCAAATAAGAAGTTGATCCTCAAAGTTCACCTTTTATTTAACCTTAATAAATGATATTCCGTTTAAAAAATAAACCTCTATCCACAAGCATATTTACCAATTGCATTTTAGGGTGATATGAGGGATAGGCAATTCCAAGTAGCCACCATGTAGAAAAATAGCTCTATTGAAGTATAACTGACAAATAAAAGGTCTACATACTTAGGGCATACAACCTGATCTTTTGATATATTTACCTGCTGTGAACTGATCACAATCATCAATCTCACTAACATATCCATCACCTCATACAGTTATCTTTTCAGGGTGTGTGTGAGAGAGAACACTTACGATCTAACCTTTTAGCAAATTTAAAGTACACAGTGAAGTGGTGTTAATGTAGTCACCCTGCTCTACGCTAGATCTGCAGGACTTACTCATCTTGCATAACTGGAACTCATACCCCTTGACCAACATCACTCTGCTTTCCCCTCTCCCAGCCC